GGTGCTCCGTGCCCAGCACCGTCTTCCTCACATCCACCACTTGTCGATGCATCTGTTCTGCTTCCTCATACTTTCCCTGGTTGCTCAGCACTACCCCGAGGTTGTTCATGCTCATCAGCGTGGATGGATGCTCCGTGCCCAGTACTACCTCCTTCACATCCACCACTTGTCGATGCTTCTGCTCTGCTTCCTCATACTTTCCCTGGTTGCTCAGTACCACCGCGAGGTTGTTCATGCCCACCAGCGTGGATGGGTGCTCCGCGCCCAGCGCCGCCTTCTGCACTTTCACCACTTGTCGATATATCTGTTCTGCTTCCTCATCGCTTCCCTGGTCTCTCAGCACTACCGCGAGGTTGTTCATGCTCACCAGCGTGGATGGATGTTCCGTGCCTAGCACATCAAACCGGGCCGAATCTCGATAGAATGGTGCAAGGCAACCCGCGTCGTGACAGCTCACAATATCTGGGCCGCGTCGATGCTCATCTTTCGAGAGGTCTTTGACCGCCACGAAAGGAGCATCCAACGGCGTCTGGGTCTCGCTCCTGCCATTGTCCACGGCCATCAGGGCGCGCTCTGATGCCCTTCGCCGCTGAAAGCAGCCGCTGGCCGTTTGGTAACCCCTCCGGTACATTTCCACCGCAATCTGCTGGTCCACCTCGTCTTGGGGATAGTATATCGGGTCTATGTCACAGATGGCGTAAAGCCATGCGTGGAATACCCCTTCTTCATACCAAATCCGGCAATTCTCCAGTGTCTGGTTGGCCGCGACTGGGTTGTTGTTGCAGAATTCGCCACCCTCCAGCAACTCCCGAATCTCAACATCAACGTTTTCGTAAAGCGTTTTGTCTGTCACGAGGAAATACATCTAGAAGCTGTCGGCAGAGTTGAGATGGCTGGATAATGGGGTCGGTTCAACCGGAGATTGAAGTGCTGGGTGGAAGAGGGTTGGGGAAGGGGTTGCTGCGACCTCCTGCGATACTTATAGCTCTGTCTTGGTAGACGGTACTTGACAATTGACAGTCCGCCCTAGGTATGACAAACCGCCAAGTGTGCTCGAACGCGCAAGCAAATGCGCTCTCAGCTGCCGGCTCGCGAGAACTTGTGGGGCATTTTCTGGCTTTGAAAGCTCTATCTTTTCTATAATTGTGCATCGGAGTTGGCTCATGCCGAGGATACATCGGTCGAGGTGGTCTAGGCTGACGTGGATATCAGAACGACACGGCATTGGAGGAGAATCGGGAATGGTCAGAAAGCGGAGCCGGCAGACAGACAAACTCACTCAGGGACCCCTTTACCCGGATGAGCGCCAGTTACCTAACTTCAATTACCTTCCGCCAATTGTTGCCATAACCATCTAGCTGACGGGATGCTCCTCGATCGAGTGGATGCTGATGAGCGTGTGCATCACTTCTTCATCGGAATCCAACTACGAATTAGAAAGAGAGAAGTCGGTGGTCCGCCTCCATGCCCACCCAATTTGGGCTTGATCTACGAGGAGAAGAGTTCCGAGGACGCTTAGAATACAGACGAATACACCGACCAGGGGAGTCACTTCATGTACGCGTGGCGTGGTGAAGATCAGTCGTGGTGGGTGCCTAGTTGGCAGGACATCCAAAGCCGCGGCATCTCGGTCCTAGACCAAAGAACACGAGCACCACACGGAGACTTACAACGCAGACGGGTGAGCCCGAACCGACCCGTCCGCCGAATTTAAACATTTCGTGGGGGAATGTCTGGGCAACACTCCATTCTAGAAGTTGGGAAGCAAGCTCGAAGGGCCGGGCCACGAGAGAGTGGAGGGAGCCCTGGGTCAAACAGAGCGACGGTCTGGCCCATACCGATGCAGGGGTCCGAAGCTCATGGGCTCACCATGTCTCCATAAATCAATGGCGATAACCGCCATGGTCCATGCCGTATTAATTCCATCCGGCCTCTCCTAGAGCCGCCGTGAAAGTGTCCAGTAGTGCCATCAAACTCCGTCCCGCGCCCACTCACCCACCCACGTGGTCTATATCGACCGGGCCCTATCGTTCGAGCGGGCCGCTCAGGTCGGGTGCCCCGTACAGGGCCCGCAGATCACTCCAGCGGACGGGGGAGTGGATGCCTTGGAAGCTGTCCTGCGTCTGTTGCATGGCGCCCGGATCGGTGAGGTGGAACCCGAGGAGTGGGAGGCAGAAGCGATCGGATCAGATGCGAGTGCTCAACGTTGAACTTGCTTCGGCCTAGGCGCAGCTGACCGAACACAGCTAGCCGAGGGGTCATTCATTCAGTTGTGGATACATTGACTTTGTTACAGATTGTGAATCATGGAAGTCTGAATTGGAAACGTCTATAAAAGCAGCAAATGTTGAAAGGAATCTGGACGGTGTCTTTCCAATTTGACTGGTTTCGCCGGATGGCATTTACTCTAAGTAGGACGAAAAGGACCTCGGCCAGAAGGGGAATTCGCTTTGGGTCAGGATAGCGTCGACTTCCGTTTCAGGCCTAGTTAGACAAACACTACGAGGCACGCCCTCATTATAGTATCTACTTGGAACTCGGGATTGTCGTTATTAATGCCAAAGACGTTGGTACACACTCTGAATGATTCAGGCAATCGAATAACTTGTAACTAAAGACTTTCTAGAAGGTAATATGGTGATGCCTTCCCTAGGGTCGGCGCCTAGAATAGAGTTACCCACGAGCCGAACGCAAGGAGAAGTCGACCAAGTCCTAAGCAGCGCAGACTTCCCTTCCTGGCATTCGCCTGCGGCCGAGAAATGGACCAATGAGTGTTGACCCCCGCCATGACCCCATCGTGGTTAGAATCTAGGTTGACTTAGGCACATTAAAAGGACTCATCCCTACGTCCGCCCCACTCTTCTCCCCCAACCGCTTCTGGCTGGATCTCGGAGCCTAGCTGCGCCTGGCGACGGCCGACCTTTGCAAAGGCTCGACCTGAATGGCAATCGGACGATGATGGGCATTGCAGCGGCACGATTTCGGTCACGCGTGAGAGGATGGTCACCCAGAGGTTGGCATATAAAGCAGATCTCCCGTCACCATCTCTCGGGGCATCGACTGTCTCGTTCTTTCATCGGCTCTCTTCGAATCGATCTTCTCAGCAATCATACAGTTATAAGGTCGAGTATCGTGCGAAGGACAGCGATCCTCTATCAACCAATAATCTCTCATGGCGTTTCCATCGACACCGGCCGGCCAAACGGATGACCAGGATGGTTCACCCGAAGGCCACCCGCATGTGCAGAACATCAAACCATCGATGAACCACCCACTCCTAGGACCGGATGCTCCTCCGCCTCCTTCGCCGGTGAGTTCACCTCCCAGTCCAATCGGCCAGACTCGAGATTACAACAGACGTCCAAAGCATCTTGGCCTTGCCAATGGGCCCACGATGAATCGCCGTCACCGTCGAGGGACGTGTTCTCTTGCGCCCCGCCGTCCTGCCGCCGCTCGGAGGTCGCGTGCGGAATCCGTGTGCGAAGAATGTCGGAAGAAAAGGGACCCGGTCGATGAATCACAACTTTATGACAGTTTACTAACGCCTTTTCGCCCAGAAACGGTGCCCGGAAGAGAGGTCATTCGACGGTCGTTGCCCAAACTGTGTTCGCCTCGATTTGCCATGCTCCTTTCGACCGGTCTCGGCCGCCTCGGCCGTCGGTCGTAACGGGGGGCTCCCCGTCGGGCACGCTGCGCAAAAGTATCCCACCGATGGAGAAGAAACCTCGGGGATATCGAGGGCTCGTGTAAACCATCTCGGTCCAGAAAGGAATGGTCAAGCGCAGTCCACCTCCCCACCGGTGGCTATCCCAGGAGGCTATCCTCCACGGACAGACCTCGTGTGGGCAGGAGCATCTTATTGCAAAGAAGTTGGATGCATTTCAATAGGGGAATTACTGTGTACGAGCATCGCCGCTTCGCAAGACGATGACCACGACCGGAAAATTGGGTTGATTGTCGGCGCAATACAAGTCCATGCCCCTCGCATCCTGGTCGGGTTCGAATTACCAGTTGCCGACTCCCAAGAAACCCATACAGCTGAGGAACAAAACAAAGTCTCGTCCGTGCACCTACCACAAACACGAGACCACACCAAATTTTGTCTCTACTTCGAGAGCGACGGACTCACCCATGAAGTTGCGCAGAGAGAGGCTCAAGGCAAGGACCATCCGCCGTTGGGGCTTGCACTACCTCGGGATTCCATGAACCGGATGTTGTTTGCTGCTTTGAAGCGCCCAAGGATCTCTCCATTGATTGGCATGCTCATCGATGCTGGTGCCGATCCAAATGTCCTCGACTCTGAAGGAAAATCCCCCCTGTATTTGGCTACGTCCAAGGGCGGCGGCCGGGTGATGGGTGAATTAGTCGGCAAAGGCGCGTCTGCCGATGACGGAAGCCTGCACCTTGCGACTTGCAATCAGGACCATATGGCGATGGAAATACTTCTCAAGGCCGGCCATCGCATTGATTATCGGTCGCCTGTAGACCAAGACGCCACTGTTCTGGAAGCTTTCCTACGGTTTGACCACCAAGAAAGAAAGGTCAAAGACTTCATTCCTACCTTGAAACTTCTCCTCAAGGACGTCGATCTAGGCACCGCAATTTGGCAGGCTCGACCCAATTTGGCAGGAATCGCTCTGGAAAGTAGGCGGCCTTTTGAACTTGTGTCTGCCCTTCTCGAACTTCGACCGAAATCTGGAGTGAAGACTACCCTGCTTCGCCGTGGCCGTTTCCGGTACTCCTTACTTAGTGCTGTGGAGCAATGGGACGCCGATGTTAAACTCGGCGACGGTGAACGCCGACAACTTAAGGCTCGACTCGTCGAACTAGGCTGTCGGAAGATATTCTACGCAAGAGAAGGCGAGCAACCAAGCGATGCTATCGGCTTACCAGCTCGCCTGCTTGACCCCGCGAGTAGGGACCGCCGTCGGGCCTGGAAGGACAAGGACTGCTCCGTGTGCGGTGACAAACCAACCACTCCAGGTGATGTGCATGCTCACCTCTCCGCTTCTTGTGTGGCAAAGCACCGTTGGAAGGACGCGATCATTTGCACCGATTGCCTCAGGCAATGCCTCGAATCCAAAATGTTCCCCAGAGGTGATGAAAAATTTCCATCGCCGCAAGTCACCTGTTGGGCACCCAACTGTGGAGAGACTTTGAGCCATTCAACCGTACAAAAATATGCAGAGGCCGAAAGATTCGCCACTTACGACGACGCCCTGTGCCAGCGACAACTGCGCGCCGGACAGAACATCGCCGAATGCGCAGCGGAAGGTTGTCGAGGCGCGGTATGGCTTGACCCGGCGGCCGACAAGAACATAACGGTCTTCTCCTGCCCCGTATGCAGACATCGAACTTGTACACAATGCAATCAACCATACCGGAAGCACGCGAAAAAATCCTGTCCGGCAAGTGAAGCAGCCCAAGCAGATACGCAACGGAGAGAAGAGGAGAAGCTCACCGAGGCTTTTATGACGAAGGAGAGGAGGTGTCCGAAGTGCAACATACCGTATCACAGGACAGAGGGATGTGACCACATCACTTGTGGAAAGGACACCCACTCGACTGCAAAAACGTGTACGCCTATTTCCTATCTCT